AAATAATTAATTTTATAATATATATATATATATATATAGGTATTTTTTCGAGGGATAGGGGGTCCCGGGACCCCTTGGGACCCTTTGTGGGTCCACCACTGTCCCTGAGCTCCTCTAACATCAACCAGATCTTGATAGAATATAAATTGAATTTTAATCATAAATTGATAGATAGAGAATGAAACTCTAACCCTGATACTTGCAGAAGCGCTATACATTTTAGCATAGTATCTTCTTACCTCAGTTGTCATGATGAGTGATTAGTATGATTTTACCATAGTAATCTAGTTATCGTTGAATATTTACTTCCCGATCTCATCTTATTGAGTGATTAGTGAAAAAGGCGTAGAATAGGAACATGCATTAGATCACCCACTATCGATTATATTTAACTTAAATTCAATTATGTGATTTGTTTAACAAAGTAGTGATTTTCAAAATGTAATAATATTTAGTACGGAGTAGCTTTTTTCTTCAAAATAAGTTATTTTAAATAATAAGTAGATGATTTTTAAAAAGGTAAAAATAATAAAAATACCCTAGACTTTGAACGGGTGTGAGGTAAACACTTCAAACTTGTATATGTAATTTAAATACCTCAAACTTTATAAAAAAGTTATTTTCGCACCATTGTCATGTACGTAGTACGGAGTATTATTTATTTCAAAAAAGGATAATGCTCAAATTCGACACTATGGTCTCATTAAAAAATCTCATATTGGACACTAAGATTTTAAATAAACCAAATTGGACACTATGGTTACATATGCATCTCATATTGGACACTGAAATTTCATAATTCATAGTTTTTGCACACTCTTATGATTCTCTTGTTCCCTTAATAAAAATCGTTAGTCTTACATTTCCTTTCCTTTTTGGTAAAAGTAAACCAATTTAATTACGTATATAATTTTGGAATATTTAATTTGAAGTTGTAGAATATATATTTTTATTTTAATTAATAACTTCTTATTTTTAACAATTTAAAAATATATTTATGACTTTTCATTCATATGATTTTTATTGAACTTTAAGAAATATCGATTTGTTAAATTGATTTACAAATATTAAAGAATTCAATTACATTATAATAAATTTTCTTAATTGGAGCATCTAATTATATATTCTAAATCTAAATACACAAATTAAGTTATATTTATTTTTTAGGTACATAAAACCAAGAGAAAAAGGAATACTTATATCTTTCAAGGTGAAAATCATTGATGGGTGTCCGAAAATGATCAGAAAAATGTAAAATTTGATCAATTTGAAACTTTAATGTTCGATATGAGACACACAAGTAACCTAGTGTCCAATTTGATCCATTTGAAACCTTAGTGTCTAATATGAGATTCTCATATACAACCATAGTGTCTAATTTGACGACCCTTATCCCATTTCAAAACTGTAAATTTATAGGGTTAATTGCATAATTTTAAATAGCAAATTAAAAGTGTTGCAATTATATAAATTAGGGTTAACATTATTTATTTCACAATGGAAATTTAGAATGTTAATTGTGTCTTCATGAATTCTAAAATATTTTAAATTATGCAATAAACATCATACATTTGCATTTTTGAAAGAAATAATATTTGACTATGGTGACTATGAACTCTAAGTAATATTTAAATTACACATGTAAATTTGGGGTGTTCATCTCACACTCTTTCAATGTTTGGGGTATGTTAATTGTTTTTCTCTTTTAAAAATAATTATCAAGTTTTGACCGTCAAAGTGTGATTTTTTTTAAATATCATGTAGTGATTTTCAACTTTTTAATTCTATTTTTCGTATTTCATACTATTGTATTTGATAGTGTAGTTAGAGTTTGTGAATTCGTTTATTTTAATCTTTACTTATTATAAGTTTTTTATCGTAAATAGAATAAATAATTACTGGATCATCACTACAAAAAAAACCACGGGATTGGCAGGAATTTTGGCAGAGATTTTGGCTGGGAAATGCCAAATTCGTGCCAAAAACACTTTGACATGAGCTATTTGGCACAAAAATTCGGTAAGTCCGTGCCAAATTCTGTGCCAATCCCGTAGTTTTTTTTGTAGTGCATGGTCTACAAAAAGTCAAAAACTATACTTTATTATATTATTTCAGTTAAGATTAATAGTTAGCTGCACAAAATGAATACTTATTTAGAAACTATATGATTACCATAACTTTGATATATAATGTGTGAATATTATATTACTAAACATTTTGAAATTATGATATCGTTGTGACACTCATAAGGAGGAGGTCACATGTTCAAAATACATCTCAATTTAAAATATTGACATTTAACATAACAAATACTATAATATGCGAAAAAATACAACAGAAAACCTCGTAGATATTAGGACAATAAAAATTATTTATACTAGTATTAATTATAGCTTTACAATAAAATGAGAAGAGAAAAAGTTTGTTATCTCCCCAAATAAAATTTATCATTGCAATATAGCTCCACTTAATACAATTTACTATGAAGTATATATAGGGCCGAACCTTTTGTTGAGGCAAAGAGACAATTGCCTCAGGAACAAAAAATTTGATAAATAATAATGGTCCATAAATAATTGTATTTCAGTATTATATATATACAATCTTTTTTCCTATTTTATTAAAATAATAACAATACAAATAATATCAATCAAAATAATATCATGCAACTATATGAGATTAATTATTTGATGTAGGCATATAAATTAAATTGGTGCTTATAAATCTTAAATCTTAATATCCAAGTTTTACGTACATTATTCAAGGTCTTTTACAAAAATTCGATTCAGACCAAAAAAATGTTAGGATCAGTTCTGAGTACGTACTATCTTGATGTGATTGGAGTCTTTAAATACTCTTTTAATTAGCAATTTCTTTTCAAAAAGTAACAAACTCCAATTAACTTGAATATTGTATGGATTTGTAATAAACATGCAGGCCACACCGAACACGTACGCGTTAGTTGTCAGTGTAGAGGTTCAATCCCTCAATTGGTACTTCGGCAACGACCGGTCCATGCTAATGACCAACTGCATTTTCCGACTCGGCGGCGCGGCGGTGCTACTCTCGAACCGGCCCTCCGACCGCCATCGCTCCAAATACCAACTGGACCTCACCGTCCGCACAAACAAGGGCGCAGACGAGAACAGCTACTCCTGCGTGTTCCAGAGAGAAGACGACGCCGGACGAACCGGCGTCGCGCTCTCCAAAGACCTCATGACTGTTGCCGGGGAGGCGTTAAAGATGAACATCACCACCCTCGGCCCGATCGTCCTCCCCGTCTCCGAACAGCTCATGTTCTTCCTCACCTTAGTGGCGAGAAAGGTTTTCAAGAAGAAGATCAAGCCGTATATTCCGAACTTTAAGCTCGCTTTCGAGCATTTCTGCATCCACGCCGGTGGGAAGGCGGTTCTCGACGCCATCGAGAAGAATCTAGAACTCAGTGAGTGGCACATGGAACCATCTAGAATGACATTATACAGGTTTGGTAACACTTCGAGTAGCTCTTTGTGGTATGAGTTGGGTTATGCTGAGGGCAAAGGGAGGATCCGAAAGGGGGATCGGGTGTGGCAAATAGCATTTGGGTCGGGTTTCAAATGTAACAGTGCAGTTTGGCGGGCTTTGAAGAATGTAGATGCAGCCAAGGAGAAGAGCCCATGGATGAATGAGATTCGCCAATTTCCGGTCCCATCCATCTATGTCTAAACTTCATTTATCGAAGGAAAATCGTATTTTTAGTCTCTGAAATAGTCACCATATTGTAAATGTCATCCCTCAATTTTCCAAATTGTTGTAAATGTGGTCCTTAGGGGTGAAATATACTCCTCGCCCACATTGTACATTTCACCCCTTTAAGGACCACATTTACATCAATTTGGACAATTGAGGGGTGACATTTACAAACTGAGGAACATAGGTCTGACCTTTTAATATAGTGACTATTTCAGGGACTAAAAGTACGATTTTCCCTTTATTGAATATTCTAATGTCATTACTAAATTTGATTTTTTCAAGTCAATGATGTTAAACTTTGATCGATTATATATTAATACACCGTAGTATTGATAATATGAAAAAGATATAAAAAGGTTCTTTGTTAAAAACACTATCATAAAAGGAGTATATATAATGATGGATCAATTAAATATTACGTAGTACCATCTTTGACTGGGATAATCAAAGATGGTAAAATAAAAAGAGATAAAGATAGTATGTCACTAGTACCAAGTACTCCGTCATAAACATATTTAATGCACTAATACCGCTGTCATGTATTGCGTAGTTTTATACTACACATGATTATAGAGAGAATTGCCTAAATAAGAATAGATTTAATAAATTTACATAAATACGAGTATCATCAATTTCTTCTCAATCAAACATGATTGATTTACGCCTACTTTGAAAAGTGTATTATTTTTATAGGACTAACTAAATTCTATTTGAGAATATAATGAGTTTTCTCTCTCTAGGGTGTTTTCACCGCTAGGGGTTTTCAGCGTAGCGACGCCATAGGTGGTTTTTTTTCCTTCTAGGGACTTCAGACGAAGGAGAGCGGTAGTTGAGGTTGATGAAATGGTTAGTAACATAAGAGGGGGCTGAATTGTGTTTGTGTGGAACTGTGGCAGTTTCTCGCACAGTTCTAGTGTGGGTGTAGGGAAATGCGAAATAATAAATACACAAGAATTTAACGAGGAAAAATCCCTTGGCTCATAGGGATTAAAAAACCTCGACCTCCCTTGGAGTAATTTGAACAACTTCACTAAATAGCTAATATGTGGTTACAAGCTAAATTCTCCTAATCTACGCTTGAGCCACCCCAACTCTATCCTCTCTAGGAAGAGTTATGCAGCATAACTTATGCTTCTCTACCTTGCGGGTAGAGAGCCTTTCAGCTTTACAACAAAGCTCTCACACACACGATCCCAAACCGAGGAAGCTACACTTATCTTTTCCTTGAAAACCAAGTTACAAGATAAAGAAGGGAAAAGAAACTCTATCTAGAACTTCGTGCGTAATTTCAGGTGCCTTGGACTTGATAACTCTTCGTAAGTCTTTCTCCTTTTGATTACTCTCTCAAGCATACCTCTAATCTTAGTCTTTCGTCATATATATATATATATATATATATATATATATATATATATATATATATATATATATATATATATATATATATATATAGGGTCGGGTTCGAATGAGAAGACATCTTAACGTGAGCAGTGAGAAGTTACACATTTACCTATTCCTGATGCACTTTTTTGCTAATCTGAAGCACTTTTTGCGATGGCAGCAAAGTAGCGATTAATTACGGAAATGCCACCGCATCTAGCATCACTGTTTTAATATTTTTTGCACTTTCCCGTGCACTTTTTTGCTAATCTGATGCACAGATCTTAAAATGAACGCACCAGATGCATTCTCACTTCTTACGATAAGCACTCTTCTCATTTGATCCTTATTCTACATATATATATATATATGTATATAGTTTCATGCAGGACGTCCGTTGCTCCTCTTTCCTTAGTTGGTTGCATGGTAAATTTATGGACTTGCCTTGATATTTTTTGAATTGCTTCTCTCCATAATATTTCTCATATTCCAGCTCGAGATATGTAGGGCAGTCAGATTAAGATACTTAAGATATTATAATCACATATACAAGAAAGTAGCATACCAATCACGGACAAGAAGATTATTTCATAAATGCAACGGCCCACTCAAATCATGTGTGATCAATTTAAGTAGGAATATTTCAAGCTACTTAAATTAATGACCAAAGAAAACATGTTGTGGCCAACTCTTAAAACGGAAGAATATTATTCTCAATATATGGAATGGATTAAATATGGAATATATATCAAACAAGAATTACTTTTCAAATCCGTATTACAAGAGAAAGAATTCACTTAACAAGTATAAGTACTGCTATGGTCAACTTCCAATTATAAATCATGCACTCACATTATGGTAAGCAAATTAAGATGACAAGATAGCATAATATTATATATAAGGAAGTAGTATATTGTCTTGTCAAATATAAGCATGCAACTATCCAAATATTACTAGCAAGTCAAGATTCTTTCAAAAGGAGATTTAATATCTTAAATCAAGGATAACTTTTCAAACCATAAATCAAAAGAATATTTATTTGACAATAATTATAAGCATGCTACGGTCAACTAAAATATGAGTAATGCAATCATTGATTTAGCAAGCCAAAGATACTTTCTATAAAGTAAAAGGCATAGTTACTTTCTATAAAGTTAAAGGAACAATTACTAAAGTGGGTGTCAATCATTTATGAAAAGATAATTAAATTGTGCCACTTTCATGCATATCAATCTAGGTACGTAAGTAGATAAGGAATTATTATGCAATCACATATTAATTCATTTAATCATTATGCACGTTAATTATTCACTCAGAATAGAACTAAGTATAGTTCTGATTTCCGTTCCTGATAGAACTCTGCTGGTCTATCGGCTGGTCTATCTGCATGGTTAGTCATCAATAAAACATATACGTCTGTGATAGAGTATATCTCTAGAGAGAAGTGAGAGCTAGAGAGAGAAGTAGTATATTTGCTTGGTATTAATGAATTCTCAACCCCTACAACTACTCCCAAGGGGAGTATTTATAGAGAAAATACGGGCTGGGCTCCCAAGCCTTGGGCTTGGGAGGCCCATTTACAACTGGACCGCTACTGGGCCGAATACAAAGCCACTAATGGGCTGTACAAATGAACAAGTATAAAATCCGGTTCTGGGAGGTCTTCGTGGCCGACGAGGGCACGGCCGACGAGGGCACGGCCGACGAGGGCACCCGAGTTCCTTGGGCTCAGGACCATAATCTGAGTTGGCCCCTTTTCGGCCGACGGGGGCGTCTTGGCCGACGAGGGCGCCACTCTGTGTCTTGTGCTTTCTGTTCTTCCGAGTATGTGGGTCCAGGGGCTCAGACCCATATACTCCATCAGGAGTCCCCCACTCTCTAAGCTGAGACGTAGACGAAGTGAAGGAGAGTAGATTCCCGTGTTTTAGCGCTTTTGGCCGATGCGGGCATCCCCGGGTCGTTAGCCGTTGCGGCGTTGGCGTTGTTTCCTCTTTGGTGTGTTCATTCGAGGACGATGAGTCTCCCGCTTCGATGGTGGCCGTTGAAGGCACGCTTTCCTTTTCATGGGTGTTGATGGTTGAAGTTTGGGCCGATGAGGCCGTTGAGGTTGTTCCTTGCTCTGAGGACGATGGCGTCCTTTCCTTTGGGTGGCCGATGGGGGTGTTTGCGCACTCCTTTTGGCCGTCGTTGATTAGCTTTCATGTTTCTGGCCGAAGAGCCCCTCGTGATTAAGTGATGGCGAAGGACGATGAGCGTCCTTGCCTTTGGTGGCCCGTTGGCCGTTGCAGATGACGTTGTGTGCCTTCGGTCGACGAGGTGTAGTGTGACGCATGGCCGATGTGGCCATGCTCTGTGGTTACCTTGTTTGCATTCTCTTTTGTTTTGTTGAGGCCGGTGTAGTCCCCCAGTCCCCCACTTCTTCAGGCCGAAGAGTGTGAGGGGTGAAGGAGTTGCCTGTGTCCCAGGCCGAGGCGGCCTCTCCGTAGTGCCCCTGAATCCAACCCTTATGGCGATTTTCTGGCCAAGGTAACCCTGTGGGAGAACCCTTGTGCGCAGATCGCTTGTAAAGAGTTATCATCAAGGGTCGTTACGAGGAGCCGACGGCTGTGGGTTTTTGTTCCTTTGGTCCTGTGGCCGTTCATTACGTTCCTGGCCGTTGTCATCTCCCTATCGTTGGTACTTGTGAATTTGGTATGTGAATAGGCCGCTGTGGGCGCTTGCTGGCACTTGTGAAGCCGGCAAGCGTAGAGGCCGTAGAGTCTGTTTTGCTGGTGGGCTCTTGATGTTTTGCTTGGCCCGTTGTTGACGTGGTGGCCTCTCATTGGTGGCCGTTGACGTGGCCATTGGGAGGGTGCCACGTGTAGTGACCGTTGGGTGGGGGGTTCTATAAATACCCCTCCCCCTCCGACGAGAAAACTCATTTGCTTTCTGAGTTTTGTCGAAGTGCTGCCCGGATTTCTAGAGAGATAAACTCTGAAGCTTGTTCTTCATGTTCTTCGTTTGTTCAAGGTTAGTGTTCATCGAAATCCTCTCTGTACTTTGCATGTTTTGCTTCCTAGGCTAGTGATCTAGTGTTAGGCCCTTGAGTATCCTTAGATCTTGAAGTAGGCTGCAGTATATTCGAGATAGTGTTTAAGATGAAAAACCTCAACGAGGAGTACTATCCTTATGACGACGAGCCCTCTGCCCAGTCCCTTGATTATGACCTTCTCGAGGAGTTCTGTGAGGAGATTGAGAATCTGAGCTCGTTCCGTACCGGGGAGCCGGCCAAAGAGGACCATGCGGACGAGGGGTCTGCGTCATCGTCTGGGGGTGAGGACGCGGGGGTCTCTCGAACTGCTGATGGGGCATCCACGTCGGCTGCCATCCCCTGCCCTAAACTTGTGTCTGCTGTGAAGGGCGTTGCACCGCCGAGGAGGGTTAGGAGGCCGAAGAGAGGGCCAACCTTTTCTCACCTTGATTTGACGAACATCTATGTCATCAGGCCGCAGAGTAATGCGGGGGAATACTTGGTCGCCCAAATGTATGTGGGGCCGTACGGCAGGGTTAGGGCCCCCAGGCCGACGGACCATGTCCTCAATCCCCCCCGGGCTACTTCGGAGTGTACCCGATGAGCTTTGCTAAAGGGCTTAGGTTTCCGCTTCATCCTTTTATCACTGAGTACCTGGATATGGTGGGGCTCCCTCCGGCCTTGTTGACGCCGAATAGCTACTCCCTCATCGTCGGCTTCATCCTGCGGTGTGCTGAATTGGACTTCAGGCCGACGACGGCGCTGTTTATGAACTTATATCAGATAGGCCGTGGGAGTCATCAGAACTGTGCGTCGTATGCCACCCTTCAACAACTTCCCAAGAAGAGGAGTTTCACAGACCTGCCGACGTCCATCCATGGGTGGAAAGGGAAGTTTGTGTTCGTGTCTCTGGGCGAGGGGGGCACAGAGTTTCCCTCCGTCGGCCACACAGGCCATTTTAATCTTCATGATGCGCCGAGGAGCTCCATCCTGGACGCTCAAGTTGAGGCCTTCCTGGAGGGGGGCCGAGGAGTGTGAAGACATATATTACCGAGTACAAGATGGCCGCCCTCGGCTTTGTATGGTATTTTGTGTATGGTGATCTCGACGATGATGTGGAGTTGTGGCCGAAGATGACCACGTCCTATGAGGAGGTTGATAGTCCCGATCTGGGGGTGCCAGCTGAGGCCGATGGTAAGTCCCTTCTGACGTGCTTCCTTGTCGTACTTTCGTATTTTGCTTTCTAACCCTTAGTGTTTTTTTTGTGATGCAGGTTTTGTGATGGACCGCATGTCGTTCATGAAGAGGGCCCAACTCAAAGCGGCCGAGGAGCTGAAGGCCCAACAACCTGGGGCTACTGCTGCGGCCAAGCCGCCGGTGCAGCCGAAGAAGAAGAGGCAGGCCGAAGAGGGCCAGAAGAAGTTGACGGAGGTGGGAATGAAGCCTCCCAAGAAGTCAAAGAGGGCTTCTTCTGCCGGCGATGCTGGGACGTCGGCTGTTCCTTCTGGGGACGGAGAGGGTTCAAATCCTGATGCTATGGTGGGCCACCCTTCAGGCCCGTCGTCCACCACTCTTTCCACTATTCCTGCTCCCTCAACGGCCGCCCGGAAGAAAGGGTCCGGCCGAGAGCTGGTCAGAGGGACCTATAAGCTCGAGGTAGAGTACCCCGTCAAAGGGGGGCTGTTCAATGAAATCGTTGACGGCCACGAGGTGATTTCTCAGGCCATCCCTGATGAAGACCGGGCTTATCTGAAGAAGCTCGGCCACGTGAAGATGTACGATGGTGGGATGGACCACGTCGTCCAAGTGAGTAACCGTGCACGCTTCGTCTTACTTTCTTCGCCATTTTTTGTTGCAAAGTTGTCTAACTTATTTTTACTGCAGGGTGCCTTCATGTTGATGGAGAACAACAGGAGGCAACAAAAAGAGATTGCCCGTCTGAGGCAATTTGAGCAGAAGGTTGCCTCAGCCGATGAGGCACTAGGCAGCTTAGAGAGGCTGCGTCTTGAGGTTGAGGGCCTTAAGAAGAGGGCCGACGAGGCCGACCAATTGGCCGCTGAGAAGGAGGGGGCTCTCCAGCGCTTGGCCGACGTGGAGCGTGCCCGCGATGAGGCCCTTCAGCGCGCCGAGGAGGCCGAGAAGGGCAAGGCTAGTGCAGAGTTGGCTCTCGTCGCTGCCGAGGAGAAAGCCGCTGATGCCGCTGTGCAGAAGTTTATTGAAGTCGGTTGGAAGGACGAGGGCCGGCTTCCATTCTGTTTTGAGGTCGTGGCGGCCAGACTCGTTCACTGGGTGAACCAATCCCCCGACGGCCAGGCCTATTGGGAGAAGGAGATGAAGGTCTTTTATGACCTTGGCCAATACCGGATGCAACGATTGTTGTACAGGAGGCTGCAACGGCGTTTCATGGATATCGGTGTGTCCAAAGAGTGGGCCGTCGGCCTCGAGTTGCCTCCTTTGATGAAGCATCCTGAGGCAGAGTTGGAGCTTCCGGTGGCCGAGCGGCAGCTCCCTATTGAGAGCTCACGCATCAGCGATGACTGGGCGTATGAGCGGAGCATGTTCGAAGATACTGCCACGTCGGCTGCCCCTGCCGGTACATCTGTTGTCACGGCCGAGGGGGGTCCTGAGGCCGAGAAAGACTCTGAAGCCCCTCCAGAGATCTGATCCTTTGTAGTTTTATTTCTTTGTGCTATGTAACGGCCTAGAAGCCCTCCTTGTACTCAATTTATATTGAATGGAAATGTTTTCGTAGTACTTGCTGTCTGCGTCGTCGTCTCGTTTACTGTTATGTCTAAGTACTTTGGAGTTTAGGACTTAGGAAAATCTACCAAGTATCGGAACCTCGAGTGGGTGGGTGTTCTCATCGTCTTGATGTGACACCCCCTTTGCACTGTTAATCATGTGTTCTAAGAAATTTCCTAAGTGTTGAACCGATGTTGACGTTGTCAGCCCAGTGTCCTTTGTGACCGTTGTGTCCCCTTGTTTTTGGTCTGATCAGGGTGGTCGGCTTGGGTCCATGTGTTGTGGCCGGTAAGGGCGCACAGGTTGCTGTCTTTCCGGCCAGGTGGCTTGATCGGCCTGACTGTCGTTTCTCAACTATTATAACACTTAGGATTTTTTTCAAAAATTTCCTAAGTGTTTTGGATCCACTTAGGTGCTCTCCTTTCGGCCTTGATCGCGGTGTCCGCTCCGTCCTGGCGTTGTCCCGTTCTTCTTTTTTGTTAGAATTTTTCTTAAGCGTCTTACTTCAAGTGGAAAGGTGTTCCCATCGTCCTGGCGGTGGATTTCTCATTGTTGACAAATGCTTTGGGAGATTTCCCAAGTGTTTGAACCAGTGTCGTTGTCGGCCTGCATCCTTTTGTTGTGGCCGATAAGGGCACCTTCACCTTGATCTTTTGAACTTAGAGTTCTCCAAGTACACATGCATAGGTGTAAGTAGCTAACGGCCTTGGAGTATACTGGTACCCCGCTTCGTCCTGGTCATCCTCAGGATTGTGATTCTTTGTTTCATACCAAGCGGTGGTGCCTCAAAGGACTATGGCCGATGAAGGTCGCCTCTCGCGTGTCACCCAACCGATGCGGTTAGGGTTTTATAGGCGTTTGCTTCGGCCTTGATTATTCCCTTGTAGTGTGTGGAAGTGTCGTCCATGTTACCTGTCAGTGGTACTACACTTGTGTTCAACTGATATGTACTTGGCCTAGTTGGGCCTGAGTTGTGGGGATTTTATTTTTTCATTGCTCGAGGCCGGCTAGTGTGCGCGACCGTCGGCTTCCCTCTTTTTCCCTTATATATATATATATATATATATATATATATATATATATATATATATATATATATATATATATATATATATATATATATATATATATATATATATATTCGTTTCGGGGGGTATCCTTCTTCGGCCGAAGGGTGTGCTCGTCCTTCAGCCGGTTCGGACTTCGTTTATAACGTCCGTGATCTCAGGGCGGGTCCCGTCGCCTATTTATGACGCGGGCTAGACTTTTGGTCGGTTTCCAACGGCTGTCGTTGCCCATCCCTGAGTTTTGGGATTTTGTCACCTCGGCCATGATTTCAGGCCTGTCGTCCTGCGATCTGGCGCGTGGACGACGCGGTGAGCTTCCCGTTTCAAGACGTGGGCCGTTTGCGGGCCCCTCGTCCTGGGGACATCGTCGGCCATACCTGAGCGTTTCACTTCTAGGCTTACGGGGCCAGGACGATGTGCTCTCTCAGCTAGGCCTGAGCCCTTCGCTGATACAAATTACAATGGAGTGCCGGAGCTTGTCGCTCGTAGGCTGCAAATGCCAGGGGCCATGTCGGCCATGCCTGAGCCTTTCGCTCTAAGGTGGCCGACGGGGGCACCTGCTAATGTTTTACTTTAAGTTCCAAAGAAAAAATCAGAACATGATTTTATTCATAAGTGGCGCGAGGCCGAGGGTGGCGTTCAATCAGTATCCCGTTAAGGGGTGAGGGCTTCGCCGTCTGCACCTCCTTCGGATTACTGATAAAACTTCACCAGATGGTGTACATTCCACGTTCGTGGTACATTGGACCCATTCGGACGTTTAAGCTTGTAGGTGCCGGGTTTGACCACGGCACTGACGATGTAGGGCCCTTCGTACTTCAATGCTAGCTTGCCACCCTCTGTCGGCTGGCTTGCTTCCCGTCGGAGGAGGACGTAGTCCCCCACCTGAAATTCCCGGGAACGTACCTTGGCGTCATAGTATGATTTTACTTGACGCCGGTAGTTCTCTGCTCGGACGTAGGCTTGCTCACGCCTCTCATCGACCAGGTGTAGGTCAATCTTCATGTTCTCTTCGTTGGTGTCAGGCTCATATTGTTCCACCCGTCGGCTGGGGATGGCAACTTCCGTGGGAGCCTTTGCTTCAAAGCCGTAGCTTAGGGCGAAAGGCGTTTCACCTGTCGCCCTCCTCGGCGTGGTCCTGTAGCACCACAGGATGTTGGGGAGCTCGTCGACCCAACTACCTCCTGCGGCCTGGAGCTTCTTCTTCAGCCCCTCCATAATTGTTCTGTTGGCGTTCTCGACCTGCCCATTGCCCTGAGGGTAGGCAACGGAGGAGAAACGATGCTTTACCTCAAACTCCCGGAGGAGTTCTTGGAAAGGGGCTGCCTCGAATTGGGTGCCGTTGTCTGATATAATCTCCTGGGGGACGCCAAAGCGTGTGATGATGTTCTTGTAAACGAATTTTTGGCATCTGGCCCCCGTGATGCTGGCCAAGGGCTCCGCCTCGACCCACTTGGTGAAGTAGTCGACGGCGACGATGATGTAGCGGTTATTCCCGGCGGCTCTGGGCAGGGGGCCGACCAGGTCAATCCCCCATCTGGAGAATGGAATTGCGGTGCTGACGGGGGCGTAGTTGACAGCTGGCCGACCAGGGGCCTTCTGGAGCACCTGGCATGTGGTGCACTTCCGGGCCAGGTTAGCGCAGTCGCGTGCCATCGTCGGTCAGAAGAAGCCCTGGACGACGAGACGCCGGGACATGCTGAAAGGGCCCTGGTGCGAGGAGCAGACGCCACAATGAACTTCTTCCATGGCTATGTCGGCCTCGTCCTGGTGCAGGCATCGGAGGAGGGTGCCATTATAGGACCGTTTGTAGAGTCTGCCATCTTCGATGGTGTAGCTTGGGGCCCTGAGTTTGGCAAGTTTGGCCCTCTCCTCGTCTGGGGGCAGCTTCCCCGCTGTGATGAAGGTGGCGATGTCGGAGATCCAGTCCTCTGGTCGCTGTTGGACGCACAAGACGGGGCTGGCATGGATGCTGGACATGCTCAATTCCCCGATCTTGGCCAACTGGGAGATGTGCTCCGGGGTGTCCGAGCTGAGCTTGGAGAGGATGTCGGCTTCGGCGTTCTCGGCCCTTGGGATCTGAGTGATCTCGCGGGTTTCAAACGCTTTCAGCAACTCCTCCGCCGCTTGTTTGTACTGCTTCATCCGGCCTTCCTTTGCTTCGTACGATCCCTCCACCTGGCCCACTACCAGCTTGAAGTCGCACTTGATTTTAAGGTGCTTGGCCTTGAGGCCGGCGGCGAGTCTGAGGCCGCTGAGGAGGGCCTCATACTCGGCTTCGTTGTTGGATACCCTGAAGTTGAAGCGGATGGCATAGTAAGCTCTAAATCCTTCAGGGGATATGAGGACGACGCCGCCGCCGCATGATTTCGCGGCCGACGAGCCGTCAGTGAACAGGGTCCACGTATCTCTGGCTCTGGCCCGGGGTTGGCGACGGCCGTCTCCCTTGCTGTGCATTCAATGACAAAGTCGGCCAAGGCTTGCCCTTTGATGGATGGCCTTGGCTTGATCTCGATCTGAAACTGGCTGAGGAAGATCGCCCATTTCACCATCCTTGAGGAGCTGGTGGGGCTCCTCATGAGTGCGCCGAGGGGCTGTTGGGTCAGCACATGGACGGTGTGGGCCTGGAAGTAGTGTCCAAGCTTCTTCACCGTATGGACGATGGCCAACACTGTCTTCTCGATGGGGGAGTACCTGAGCTCGGCCTCCCTGAGTGTCTTGCTGATGTAGAAGATGGCCTTCTGCACCCCTTCGTCCTCACGGATGAGCACGGAGCTGATGGCCGACGTGCTCACCCCTAAGTACAAGAAGAGGGTTTCACCGGCTTTGGGCTTGGAGAGCACGGGTGGGGACGACAGGTACCTTTTCAATTCGTCGAATGCTTCCTGGCACTCCGTCGTCCACCTGAAGCTGTTGGCTTTACGCATGATCTGGAAGAAAGGGAGTGCCCTCTCGGCTGACCTGGAGAGGAACCGGTTCAGGGCTGCTAGGCGCCCCGTCAGTCGTTGTACTTCCTTGACGTTACGGGGCGGCTCCATGTTGATGATAGCCTGCGTCTTCTCCGGGTTTATCTCGATGCCTCTCCGGCTGACCATGTAGCCGAGGAACTTGCCACCCCGGACGCCGAAAGCGCACTTCTTGGGGTTGAGCCGGAGCCTGAACTCCTTCATGATTTCAAAGATTTCCCGGAGGTCGTCGGCGTGGGAGGAGGCCTGCCTGCTCTTGACGATCATGTCATCGACGTACGCCTCCATCGTCCGGCCAAGGACCGCTCTGAAGATCTTGGCCACCATCCTAGTGTAGGTGGCGCCGAAGTTTTTGAGTCCGAAGGCCATGACGAGGTAGCAAAAGATTCCCTCTGGGGTCATGAATGTCGTCTTCTCAGCGTCATCTTCATGCATGGAGATTTGGTGGTACCCTCTGAAAGCGTCGAGGAACGACATCAACTCGCACCCCGCCGTCTCATCCACCAGCTGATCTATGTTGGGGAGAGGGAACGGGTCCATGGGACATGCCTTGTTCAGGTCAGTGTAATCAACACACATTCTGAACGTCGGCGGTTTCTGGGCGAGGACGATGTTGGCCAACCATGTCGGGTACTTCACCTCTTTGATGTGTTTGATTGAGAGGAGCATGGCGACCTCCCCTTTGACGAAGTCCCTCCTGTCGGCGGACAGGTAGCGCCTCTTCTGCTTGACAGGCGCGGAGGCCGGATCGACGGTCAGCCGGTGAGTGATCACCTGGCGGCTGATGCCTGGCATATCGTCCGGGCCCCACGCGAAGACAACGGCGTATGACCGTAGGACGAGGAGGATGGCGTCTCGTTGGTCCTGGGGGAGTTGCTTTCGGACTCTGAGAACCCGCTCCGGCCGGGAGGTATCAAGAGGGATTTCCTCGACCTCCTCGGCCGGCTCCGCATGTGGCCTCCCCTCGTCCATGGCGACGGCGGCCGTGATGGTGTCTATCCTCTGGCCTTCCCTCTCGGCCGGCCTCGTCAGTTTGAGGTAGCATGCCCTGGCTATCCTCTGATTTCCTCTGGCGTAGCCGATGCCGTCGTTGGTGGGGAACTTCAGGCACAAGTGCTTCATGGAGATGATGGCCTCCAAGTCCTCCAGCGCTGGCCGACCCAAGATCAGGTTGTGGGCGCACTGGAGGTTGACCACCATGAACTCCATGTTAATTTTGGCGTGGTGGGGGCCGTCACCGACCTCCACGGGGAGGAGTATCGTGCCCTCGGCGTCGATAGAGTCCCCGGTGAAGCCGGATAACGGTGTCTTGATCGGCTTCAGCAGAGCTCTGTCCAGCTTCAGCTGCTTGAAGGTGTCCAGGTACATCACGTTGACGGAGCTCCCCGTATCGATGTAAGTACGGTGGATGATGGAGTCACCGATCTCACATCGGATGACGAGGGCGTCCCTGTGTGATTCCGTACCCGGAGGCAGATCCTTGTCGGTGAAGGTGATCGCCTCCGTTCGTTGCTTCTTCGGCTGGGGGGGGGGGGAACGTGGGACACCTCCCCAATGTAAAGGGATTGGGCCCATTTCTTTCTCTGAGTGGCGGAGTCCCCCCCCCCCCCAGTGTTCCCGCCTACGATGAGGTGGATGTGATTCTTCTTCGGCGGAGGCTCCTGGAAGTCCTCGTCGTCGCTTAGCCTACCAATCTCCCGCTTCTTCGCAGAGGGTTCGCCCCCATGTTTGCCGGTGTTTACCCAAGTGTTCTTGCGTGGGCCACCTTTGACAAACTGGGAGAGTTCCCCCTGGCGAATAAGGCGCTCGATGGCCTTCTTCAGTGTGATGCAATCGTCGGTGTTGTGCGACGAGTTCTTGTGGAACCGGCAGTATGTACCGCCCTGCTGGATGGCAAGGATCTCCTCGTGACGCACGTCATCCTCGTGCAACTTCCCCTTGCCCTTGTCCGGGCGGGGCTGGTTCGCTGTCCGGGACACAGACCCCAAGCTTTCCCTGGGCGAGTCAGGACGAGGATTACCAATCCGTCCCACCATCCTCTCCGAAACCGGACGACGGCGCGTGTCACCTAGCCTATTGAAGGCAAAGGCTTTTCCACGCGCTGGGGTCTGCCCGGGACGAAGAGGGGAAGCAGGGTGGTAGTGGGACGACGCCGTGTCCTGGGCCATAACCCCCTCATTGTTGCCTATCTGGACGGCCAACGGTTGGGGATGAGGAGGTGGAGTGACGTTTCCCCCGGTCCTTGGCAAGAGTGCGCTGAGGACGGTGGGGTTCTGGGCCAGGCTGGCGATGATGACCGACAGCGCGGCCTGGACCTGTGGGTCCACGGACGGAGAGGCCGCGACCATAGGCTGGGCCGGGGCGTGGTCCGTCTTCTCAGCTCGTTTCTTTTCCAGGCCGAGGCGGGCGTCGGGGACTCCGCCGTTGAGTTGGTTGCGGAGGTCCGTCGTGAGGTTGAAGGCCTCCTGGAAGAGGTCCCCTCCGCCGACCTGGTCGGCCGTGGCATCCTCATCGTGCTCCCTGGGCTCTTGGTCCTCAGGGATGACTTTGCTGATGAGGTTGCGGTTTGACTTAGTTCTCCCCATGATCAGTGGTTAGCTGTGCTTGGTAGCGACGAAGGGTGCTAACTTGATTGTTCTAGCTCTCAACGAGAGCACCAAATGATAGAGTATATCTCTAGAGAGAAGTGAGAGCTAGAGAGAGAAGTAGTATATTTGCTTGGTATTAATGAATTCTCAACCCCTACAACTACTCCCAAGGGGAGTATTTATAGAGAAAATACGGGCTGGGCTCCCAAGCCTTGGGCTTGGGAGGCCCATTTACAACTGGACCGCTACTGGGCCGAATACAAAGCCACTAATGGGCTGTAAAAATGAACAAGTATAAAATCCGGTTCTGGGAGGTCTTCGTGGCCGACGAGGGCACGGCCGACGAGGGCACGGCCGACGAGGGCACCCGAGTTCCTTGGGCTCAGGACCATAATCTGAGTTGGCCCCTTTTCGGCCGACGGGGGCGTCTTGGCCGACGAGGGCGCCACTCTGTGTCTTGTGCTTTCTGTTCTTCCGAGTATGTGGGTCCAGGGGCTCAGACCCATATACTCCATCAGTCTGTTTTGGACTGTAGGATAGTTCTGGGTTCAGTTCTACGGCTTGTTCCAGAGCACGACTTAACTTCCTTTCCTGCAATCACTTATAGACCAGAAGTAACACTAGTTGTTTGTCATAAAAAAACATTATGTTCCAACAGAGGTCAGTGGCGATGGTTGTTTAGTGGCGGGTTTTGCAGCGCGGCTTTCTCTGTCGAGAGGAGGGCGTAGAGTGGGGAGTTTCGTTAGAGGGCTTCAATCGCTGGGAGTGGGGCAAACATTGTTGTTTGAAAAAAATTGTTGATCAATACAAGAAGATGGTTACAGAAGGGGAAACAGAGGAGTTGGATTTGGACGAGACTGAGCTTGAAGATGTTCTAGTAGAGGAGAATTGGCCGTGGTGGCATTTTCATAATTACAATGGAGAATTTTATAAGTTATGATTTATTGGTTATAAGTTCGTATATTTAGTTTATAAGTTTACTGCATTGCAAGATCACATGCAAATCCAAGGGCAGAGATTACTTTTCACTTCTCATTTTAAGGGGCACTTTCACCTGATATTCTCTCTCTCTCTCTCTCTATATATATATATATATATATATAGAATAAAGATCAAATGAGAACGATGCTTAATGTGAGAATGTGAGAACACCACATTTACCCCAACATGTTGCACAACGAAGCTTGTATATTGCACATTTTCCCATTTTCACAATATTTACCAAAATGTCACCGTGTTTATTTAAAATAGGCTTGATCGAGCAAATTGAAAAAGTGCAACAGAATAGCTCCATTGTGCATCATGATGATTTAAATGTGAGTGTTCCTCATGTATATACACCCTATATATACATGAGGGTATATATGTGAGTGTTCCTCATGTGAGTGTTCCTCAACTTCTCACGTTCTCACGTTAAGTATCGTTCTCACTGGAACCACACCCTATATATATATATAGGGATTGATTCCACTACAAAGAGGCTCCCACGTACAAAATAAGAAAGCATCATAACCGTCCAAAACAAAAAACGGATGGCTTGGATTGTGCAGTCCATGATGGTTAAAGTGGGGATGCAAACACGCAAGTAATTTTAACTGAAGGGAAACACGCGTGCGAAATTAAACAAGGGATGTATCGTCATTCAAGTTGGCTAACGTGCAGTTCATTTCACTGCACGATGTTCATCAAACCGAGAAATCAGCCATCTGCAATTATGATAATTTCAGTTTTTGAATGCGGAGGAGTTGTTAATCGAATCAAACCGAGATACACTTTCACTTTTTTCACCTGTTCATCAAGTGTTTCCATTTACGAATACACTTTCACTTTTTCAACGAAGAATAGTAGTTTAGCGTTGAGGATTGCGACACTTAGAGAAGAAGGACGAAGAGCATAGGAAAAAGTGGAAGACATGGCAGACAACCCAACTGCGGAAAACGTTAGCGCATCGACTGGTAAGAATTAAAATGTTATACACTTATGAAAAACAAGTTAACTTGAAGTACGATTGTGGGGTATGGTTTGATTTGAATTTGTTGGTCAGTATATATACTTCGTATATTCATCTATGCGGTGATGTATTTTGCGTCCTGTGGCGTGGATAAGAAAAAGTGCATGTACTGTAATTACTTGTAACGATGGTTTGGTGGGTGAATAGGGTGGTATTACAAGTGAGAGGTGTAATATAAAAAGTGAAAAGAGTTCGGAGCAAAATGTAAGGCAGGTGGTAGAAGGTTGCATGTGGTTTAAAAATTTAAAATGGATACAGATCAGATTTAATGGCATGGTGTACTACAAGAAGTAGTTATGGTGTAATTGAAAAGGAGAGAAGTGATTTCTATCACTGGATAGTATAAGGTAGAGCATCTAAGTGGAAAGTAGAAGGTAATGGGTGTTGTATAGTGTAAGGTCTGATACAAATTTTAAAAAGTGATTTTTAAGAATGGCTAGTAGCACTTATGTGTGTTAGGAAGGATATAAGGATAAATGTGTGTCTTGATAGTTTCTGTAAAAGTATATGTTGCATACTGAGTGTGGGGGTTTGGTAAAGGTGAGATATGAATTGAAAAAAGTGAGAAGAAATCAGATGAAAACGTAATGTAGTTACGAGAACTATTAATGTATTATTTGGAGTGTGATCTAAAGTAACAAAAGTGATTGTTATGAATTTATAGTAGCGGGTAGGGGGGCAATATATTCAGTTAATGTTTCTGTGAAATCATTACTGTAGTATTTAGAGTGTAATCTAAAGTAACAAAAGTGCTGGCAGGGAGTGTTTGTGTGAGTTCATTATTGTATTAATTTTTGTATTTATAGTAGCTGTTAGGTAGTGTTTGTGTGAGTTCATTTATGTATTATTCGGTTAATGCTTGTGTTAGTTAAATGTAAAGAAGTGCCAATAAATGGGATGACAATGTAATGGAATTGCAAGAAAAAGTGATAGAAATCAACAAAAGTCACTAAAGTGATTGCAAAGTAGCATCCAAGATGCGTATACAGATGGATCACTGTTGTTGTAACAGTGAATGTTGCAAGTTGAATGGTGGGATGCAAATGAGAAGAAATAAGTCTAAAATGTAAAGTAGTTCAGAGAAGCTTGTGTGAATTAGTTAGGGTGTAATAGAAAGTTTTAAAAATGGGGATGTGAATGTAAATTAGCAGGTGGGTTATGAGCATTATCTCTAATCAATGGTTGAGTGTGTTAGTTGATTAAAGAATGTGTATGTGTAGGGATTGATGCAGCAAGAACTGCACTCGAAGGTGAACATAGAAAAAGGAAAGGTGTAGGACAAGCTGGGAGTAGAAAGAGACAGAAGGGTGAAATTGCAGCATGCACACACAACACAGAAGCTGCAAGTTCAAGCATGACGCCAAAGCAATGCAATTTCACTGAAGTAGGACTAAGTAATGATAGCAGTGATGAGGATTTTGTGGTAACCCCAAGGCAGCCAGTGAAATAGAGTGAGGGAGCAAAGGCAGATGCAAATGGAAAGAAAAAAGGAAAGATAAGAAGATTAAAAGAACCATATAGAGCAATAAAAACAAGGTCCACACCGCAGCTTTTGGTGAAGGCATTAGGAGACTTGAATGATGTCCAAATAGGACAGGTGATTGACATGGGATTTGGTGGGCTGCTGAGTCTTAAGATTCAAGAAATTCCATCAAAATTGGCATTTTGGGTCTTGAAAAGTTTTAATGCAGCGGACAGTACCATGTATTTGGGAAAAAACAATAAGTTGCATGTCAACGAAGCAAACGTGGCACATGTCATGGGTTTCCCGCGTGGACAACAGTTGATTGTCAAGAAAAAGAAATCTGAAAACTGTCAATTGATATTGGAGCGGGCAGCTTTGTTTGAAGGCCAGACGAACCGGATTAAACCTACTCAAGTGTGTGACAAGATGCTGAAATGCACTAGTGGAGGACCATGGTTCAAGAGACACTTTATCGTTTTGATGGTTTCTCTTCTATTGGACAACACAGCTAATGGATATGCAAATCCACTCATCTTGAGCAATTTAGTCAACGTGGTTAGAATCAGAGAGATGAATTGGTGCGAATATGTAATGACTACTTTGATTGAGAAGAAACATGTATGGGAGAAGAATGATACCAAAAGTTTTACAGGGCCTTTGTTGTTCCTTATGGTATGGAATATATATTAAGACAATGGTATAACAATTTCATTATATCCATTAATAGTAACGTGTGTATATTTATATTTGTTGCAGCTTTTGTACGTGGACAGGGTAGTTGTGTACCGAAGAAAGATCGATAGAAGCATTCCAGCATGGAGGGGATGGACAAGTACTCTACTCAGAGCAAGAGAGACAGAAGAGATGCAGGTTGGTGGAATTGGTTTGGGATATATAGATGGGCCATATGAACAACCAAAAATCTTGGAAGAGAGCGGAAATAAAGGTGAAGAGCAGTTTGCAGAGAAGGAGAATGAAATAAATAAATCTGAAAGAGAGCAACCAAAAGGCGAGGGAAAGAGTGAGGTAAAACTAAACTTATTTTGTAGTTTTAGTAATAACAAAAAAGATAATTTAGAATAGGTGAAGCAAATGTGAAATATTGGGATGATACAGTGCATCAGATGAATGTTTTACAGAGTTCTTTAGTCTGAAAAGTTTGCAGGCATTACTTGAAAAGTAATAATGTATTATTTGTGCAGGATTTCATGGAGGAATTTGCGTTGAAAACGAACCTTCTGGCAACAACATCAATAGAAATAATCAACATGGTGCAACAAGCACCGGAAGCTGTGATGGGGAATGAAAGCTTCAAAAAGATGCAAGAAGCAGCTAGAAGTATTTTAGGATTGACAGGTGAGCTTAGTCCCGAAAAAATGACGAGTGATGCAGGAAGCCAGAGAGAAATGCCTTGGGACGATGCATTCTGGTCCAACGAAAACAACATATTGGCACTAATAAAGGCTGAAAATGCATTGGTCGAAAGAGCAGAGTACAAAAAAAATAAATGCGCTTCCAAGTTTCAGTCTAGGCATGACACAAGAAACAAATAACACAGCAAATGAGAGGACCCGAGGGAGGGAAGAGGAAATGTGTGAAGAAGTGCAGGTTGATGGTAATCTGCAACAGAATGAGGTAAGAATAAAAATAATTTTCCCAATAAATGGAACAGAGGTGAAAAATACAAAAGCTAATAGATATATATAACAATTGACTTTGCAGGAGACAAGGGTAGTGTTTGATGAAGTTCACAGAGATGAAGATGAAGCTGAAAATGAAACAGTATGTAGCATGTTTTAGTTAAAGCATTTAGTTAACGTTATTGAAGTGTAAAAGGAATACAAAGGTTAATTAATTGCAGGAAGTGCTATTGATCAAAAAAATAGTTGAAGCAGAAGGACGAAAAAAGCCAAAGAGAATGACCAGGGCCTCACAAATGGTGAAGTCACCCTTCATGACCAGAGTTGTTGATGCAAGCGACAACTCAGGAGCAGTAGAGAGGGCAGCAGCACGATGGGCGCTACTGAATGACAAGGCAGATAAGTATGTGCATTAAATAATCGGAAAAAATGAAAAAAATTAGTCCATTACTTATTTATACTAATTTTATTGCTCCAGGCTTGAAGTAATATTCAAATACGATAAAGTGGAGCTTAAACGTGATGAATTGTCTAGTCTGAAAGAAGATAAAAACTGGCAAGAAGCGTGATCGATGTTTGGGCAACAATACTGAACAAAAAGGAAAAGTATAGGAGTCCAGTTTCTCCAAGACGTGTTTTCACAAAGGCTTTCCCATGTGTAAGTTTCATGTGTGTTGTGTAAAATTTTATGATATAGTGTGATTGTGTGTGTAATTAAATTTGTTGTGTAGCTATATACGGTAGAGAAAACACTGAGTGATAAACAAGCATATGGATTATTTGGAAATCATTTGGAAGCAGGATTGGAGGAAGTGAGAGAGACTACTACAGTGAAAGATGTTGATGTGGTAAGATGTGAATGATATTTTTAGTAATGGAGCTATAGAACGAGGTAATAATGTGTATTATTTGTGTGTCTTATGCAGTTTATGATTCCAGTGATCCAACTTAAACATTGGTATGTCATTAGTTTCAACGTGAAGACTAGGAGGTTTGACGTTCTAGACTCTTTAGCAGCAAAGGGTATCAGTCCAGATATGTATGGAGACAGCTTGGAAAGATTGGTAAGGATGAATCCTTATAAGTATTAGTAAGATTTGTGTTGAATCCAATTGGTCATGTAATATCATGTTGCTGATTGACATATTAATCTGCAACAATGGTACTTTGTGCACAAATTGAGATCGCTAGGCCTTGAAAAAAAGGTAGAAATGATTGCAAAGCTAAAACCAAGAAGACTAGAAATGGTCTCACAAGAAAAGAATAGTCTGCATGATTCTGGAGTTTTTGCGATGAGGCACATGGAGACTTGTAAGGGAGAAGGCATGGTAGGATGGGAAAGTGGGCTGAAAAAAGGACAAAAAGCATATTGGTGCGCTGAGAGTGAAATATGCATCTGCAATTGTGCTAGCAGATATCAACGAGCTTAGGTTGGAGAATCTGAAAGAGGCACGGGAGTATGTAAAAGGAAAGTGATATGGAAGAAAAGTAAACAATTTGTGTTTTGAATGTTTTGTGTTCTACTTTGGATTATGTTTGGAATTGTGTTAACGTGCTGGAAAACTTAATAGTTGGGTGGTCGTTTTATGTTATTTTGCTTGTTATATATTGGTTTTTAAATGCAAGTATTTCATAAGTATTTATAATAGCAATCAAAGAATGTGATAAAGGTTTATAAATTCATAATGAAGTGAAACAAATGATCGAGTTGGTGAAATGATAAAAGAGTTTCATATAAATCATATGCTATATCAATTGTAATCACAATACAAGCTATTAAGGAATTCGTTTGTTCATTACAAGGTGGGTAGTGGATGGATAATAGTGCAACCAGGCAGTGAATAAATGTAGTGATATGTACGTTAAAAAATGAGATATCGTCTGCTCGTTGAAGTTAAGTTGCATATGTAATGCAATGACGTGCAATAAAATGAATTAAAAAAGAAAAATCCAATGCAACTTAACTTCAACGAGCTGAACACATCCCATCATGTAACGTACATATCAATACATTTTATGACTACCTGGTTGCACTAATATCCATCCACTACCCACCTTGTACAGAACAAACACACACATTTCTTAATATAGTGATATGTTCATTAAAAAAATGGGATGTCGTCTACTCTTTGAAGTTAAATTACATATGTAATACAATGAATTGCAATAAAATGAATTAAAAAAGAAAACTACAATGCAATGTCATAAGGTAATACACACTTTCAACAAGTGCAACGACTACTATAATATTAACGTTAAGAGTTTGGACCACAAAAATAATAAATATACAATAAAAAAAACCTAAACAATAAGACTTTAATTGCACAACATTTCAAACTTATAATTAAATAATAAATAAACAATAAAATATCTAAGTTCCTTTGTTTGAGGGACAATTTCTGCTGTCGTGATGACTCATTTGGTTGCATGCCCTACACAATCTTTTTGCTCGTTTGTTTTCATCAATGGCAACCTCCTTTGCACCTTTAATTCGACGACCAGAACTCTTATTCTTTGCAACTTTCGGAGAAAGAATAGTCACTTCTGAAGGTGCAGACGAACCATAGAACCCTTCAATGACACTGTCCTTTGATGATGAAGCGACACGTGGATCAACATTTGCCATGAGAAGTTCTTTCTGTTGCTTCACGATATGTGAAAATTGTTTTAGGCGATCTGGGTGAGATTCAACCATAGCAACACACACGTGAAAGTCCGACCACAACTGATTCACAACGGCTTTATTTTCTTGTATATCCACACATTGTTGTAGGATAGAATCATCAATGGAAAACATAGGTTTCAAAAGATGTTTCTTGCACCAACGGGACATAATAAAATGCTCAGGAATATGATCTAATTTACGATCCTTCAATGCAAAAAAAATGTGTCTACATAGTAAACCGCAACGCTGGAAAAACTTGCAAGTGCATGACGCAGTGCTATCATCAACGCAAAACACAACATTGAAGACCATGTTTCGGTCATCTCGAATCATATAATCCACATTTCCATCAACTCGCGTCACACTTGACACAGAACATGAAAAGCACGCGGCACATATCTCAGATTGAATATCATAAAACAAGGAGATTGTGTATACCTCGGATGCATGCTTCTCAAGTGAAGTGGGGTTTTGTAAACTGGAACATAACATTCGGAACTTGCATTGAGTTTGTCATGTGTATGTCGTTGCGAATCCATAGCACTTTTGTACTGCATATAAAACTCAATCAAGCTGAAATGTGGAATAGTGAACTCTCCAAAAAAACTATTTTCACTTTCAGAACGTGAAGTGGTTCTAAGTAAGCCACCCATGAATAAATCTCTAAAATACGATGGGATCCAAAACTTACGCAAGGAAAACATGTGTGAAAACCATTCATGATTAACCAAGTCAAACTCTTGCATAACAGACATCCATCTAACTTCAAATTCAGTTGGCTCCAAACAATTTGTCCACACAACAGAATTTATGTTGGACATAAACTCCTCATTATGACTTAACACAGGTCCAACCTTTGAGGTAACCTTCTTCATAATGTGCCACATACAATACCGGTGACGTGCGTGACTGAAAACTTTTTCAATAGCAATTCGCATAGCCGGATCTTGATCAGTAACAATGCAATTGGGTTCACGATGCATTGCATTGAGGAATCGCGTAAATATCCACACATATGAATCAACATCCTCTTTCGATAAAAGACCGGCAGCATAGGTGATGCATTTCTTGTGGTTGTCAACACCGGTGAAAGGAGTAAAAACCATATTGTACCTACACAAGCATAACTAGTATTAGTGCCCTGCAGCTAAATGACACCGAAACTGAAATTAGTGCTAAATAGAATCAAAAATTAGCTACAGCTTGCAGAATTAATGATATTATAACTACAATTGATCAATTTTTACATAAATGTTACAGATTGTGCAATTAGTGACACGAGTTTTTGAAGAAAAAAAAAACAGAATCAACAAATACCAAATAAAAAAAATACCTATTCGTCCCATATGTGGCATCAAATGAAATGACGTCTCCAAAACATGAATAGTTTTTCCTCGCTATAGGATCACACCAGAACAATCGGGTCAACTGATCTGTTTCGTCAACATCGTAATCGAAGATGAATGCGGAGCACAACTCTTGCTTCCTAAATAATTTATCAATAAGCATTTGAGCATCTACTCCTTCAATATACGCTTTGAGGTCTCTTTTGAAATTTTTGAAGTCAACAGCAGTTGCACCGATGTTTGAATAGCGACCAACGAATTCCTTAAACAATCTGTATGACTTACTTGTGCCAATGTTGGCTTTAGCACAATTAATAACGAACTTCTGATGGCCAATGTCTAAGTTTCTATTAACTTTAAGAAACTTTTTTGAAGACTCGGATGTCATACAATGGTTATGGCGTTCTTCAAATGAGTAAACAACATAGCCACGTAACCCACAATACTTAAAACATACAGAGTATCACAACCAATCCGGCTAGACACTCGACGTCGTATAATTTTTTCGCCTTCATCACCATTAGTTGTGGACGCATCTCCAATTTCTGAAGATTTACAATTAGTGCTTACGGTGGGTGCAGAGCAAACAAAATTAGAATGGTCATTTGATGGCTGAATAAAAGAAGCATTGCAGTCATTGTTCGAAGAATTGGAGTCATTCTTAAAACCTTGCCAATTACACACAACATATTTCAACAAAATCGTCCCGTCTCTAGCCTTTGATTGTGAACAAAGACGAATAGCAAATCCACACGCAGATGCATATTTCTTATAGAATGCAATTGCTTCTTCAAGGTTCGTGAAAACCTTACCAATTACAGGATTTGTTTCTAGGTCACATTCTGGGATCCAATATTTTGTCTTCCCAGGGGATATCTGCAAATGACAAGCACTCCCTACAAGAAAAGAATAATAAAAAATGCATAGAAGTTTAACATTATTTAATGTGTAGACAATGATAAAGATAAAGCAATAAATTCAGTAATTGTAGCATCAACGACGCAAAGCATATCAAAAGTAATTGTAGCATTAACACATCAAAACATATCAAAAGTAATTGTACCATCATCTTTGTAGCATTAACAGATACAAAACGTATATTACTCCGAAAAATATAATATCAAGTTTCATGCTTTATACTGTGCATTTCAAAAGTAAAACAAAAATATAATATAAGAAAACTTCAACGCACAAATCAGAAGGAATTCACGAAAAGATACATACAAAAAACTTACCAGGCTCCATGGTATTACGGTTGTGGGAAGACAACGAAAACAACAACTCCTTTTACTTCGATTAGCCGCTGAATTGCCTTTGTCAAAGAACGGAATTTCGATATTCAAAGCATCGGTTACCATTTTCGGATGTTTTAGGTGAAGAGTTAACGCAAACTAGCGACGTGATGAGCGGACAATGCGGAAGACTCGTAAGGGAAAAGGCGGTAGACTTAACTGAAATGGTAAGATGTCTAAAAAGTCCTTTTCGTTTAATCTAGCAAAGGAGATCTGTGGGTTGAGATGAGAGGCTGAGATAAATTCTCACTTTGCATATAAGTAGGTCTTTTTATTTGATCCTCCCTATATATATAGAGGGAGGATCAAATAAATATGTATATATATACATATAGAGGGAGGATCAAATAAATATGTATAGAGAGAGGATCAAATAAATATGTATATATATACATATTTATACATAGAGGGAGGATCAAATATATATATATATATATAGAGAGGGAGGATCAAATATATATATATATATATATATATATATATATATATATATATATATATATATATATATATATATATATATATATATATATATATATATATAACCCCTCTTAAAATGAGAACCCGTGAGAACCCCTGAGAACCGGTGGTATTTTTGGCTGAAATTTTTTGTGTATGTTCCTCATCAAGTCTAGATCATCCATACCAAATTTCAGCAAACAATTCAATCGGAAAGGTCGTCAAATAATTTTTGAAAGAAAACTGGTCTCATATATATATATATATATATATATATATATATATATATATATATATATATATATAACACAGTTTTCTTTCATATATATATATATATATATATATATATATATATATATATATATTTAACAATTTTCTTTCAAAAATCATTCGACGACCTTCCCGATTGAATTTGTTGCTCAAATTTGGTATGGATCAATCAGACTTGATGAGGAACATACACAAAAAAATTCAGCCAAAAATACCACCGGTTCCTTGGAGTTCTCACGGGTTCTCATTTTAAAAGAATTCTCACTAGAACCCTCCCCTATATACATAAGTGTATATTTTAAACATCAAAAATTCAAGTGGTGATCGGTAAGAATAAGTGTTAGACGTACAGTTAGGATTGATTTTTAGTTTTCATGGGAGGCAGTGTTTTTATGTGGTCTATAATCTAGAATATATATATATATATATATATATATATATATATATATGTATATGTATACATATATATATGTATACATATACATATATATGTATACGTATATGTATACATATATATACGTATATGTATACATATATATACGTATATGTATACATATATATACGTATATGTATACATATATATATGTATATGTATATGTATATATATATATATGTATATGTGTATATGTATATGTAT